CACACACACACACACACACACACACACATATATATATATATATATATACTTGTAAAAATTCAGATTTTGTTCTGTTTGGGTTAGGTTATAAAGTGTATAACTATCTTTGTATAAAAACAACATAAATCTATGCAATGTCCCCAGTTAGATGAATAAGCAAACCTGTGTGTAAATATCTTACTTATGTACAAATAGTTAAACAGATAATTCCTCGATTAAAATCTCAATGTACGAAGACGTGCACAGAGACAAGTAGCCTACTGCAGCAAATAAACACACTAGACTATCCATTTCCCAGAAAGTGCAATATCTACAGTCTGATCTAGAGAGGTGGAGATGCATACATTTTTCAGATGTCTACGTTATGGAGGGTAGTGGTCAAAATAGTAATCTCTTAATCTCTCATTATGAATTTGAAAGTATGAGGTAACGCCTGACAGCGTATTTAAGAGGCGGTATCACCATCAGTGAGGACAGACTGTTCCTCTCTGCAAACACTGACGTCTGCAACAGGTGAGCTTACTTACTTCAGTCTTTGCTGCTTAAAAAAACTACACGATAGCTTATTTATTGAAACATATTAAGAACTGTTTTTGAACTGCTAAACAGTTTCACACCATCCTGCGACACGACAAACGATTCAATTATCGTCAACAATGTGCAGACAGAATCGCGTCATCTTACCTGTTCTTGATCTGTTTATTCACTGACTGAACGCAGGTGGAGGGATTCTAGCTTCCAAAACAAGCCTTTTTTTTATGAAGGTAAAATTACGTCAAAAAGATTTGCATACGCAGGGTAAGAGTTGTGGAAGTGTGCATAAGACTGTAAGCGTAAATTAAATTTGCTTGCGCAAGAGAAGCTTTGTAACGGTGTAGCCTAAATCGCGTTTCAAGCGCAAGAAAAAATTATTTGCAGCATTTTACTGTTACTCGTAAGTGTAATTCATGTATTGTGAAACTGCAGCTTAATGCTAATGCAAAATAAATATGATCTGCATGCTTCTGACTTCCATTTTTCCGCGCTTACACTTTTGCCCGTTTTTTTCGCCAAAATACGGTCAAAAGCACTGCAAGCCTGTGAACAGTGATTTGCAAGCGAAAACAACAGTTTAAAGAACTGCAAAACGGATTGACTGCATAGAACCAATCTGTATGTGTA